GTTCTGCAGTTTCCCACACCGTGACAGCAACTGGGTAATCTGCACCAGTGCTCAGACCAAATAAAAGTTGGATTTTGTGTTACAATAAAAACCAAGGTTAGTTTTTATCAATCTGTAAATATAGGTAGGTGGTAGATTTTTTTTTGTTTGTTTAACTGAGCACTATATTGTAGATAAGAACTTGTCCGGATGCAGAGGTATTGCCGAGCAAAGTAGCGTGTGAAATAAAAGTCGGAGGAGGGGATCTATTCCAAAAATAATGCCACACATGGCCAGACTTACCTTAGTGTGCTTCATGGCTTAGTCTAGTTTCCAAGCACCTTTGCAAGAAGGTGAAAGGAGGCTGTAGTGAGGTGGGTGTTGGTCTCTTCTCCCTGGTAACGGGTGATAGAACAAGGGGAAACGGCTTCAAGTTGCACCAGGGCAGATTTAGGTTGGACATTAGGAAAAGTTTTTTCACCCAAAGGGGTGTTAAGCATTGGATTGGGCTGCCCAGGGAAGTGGTGGAGTGCCCATCCCTGGAGGTATTTAAAAGCCAGGCAGACGAGGTGCTTAGGGACATGGTTTAGTGGTGGGATGGCAGGGTTAGGTTAACAGTTGGACTCGATGATCTTAAAGGTCTTTTCCAACCTAGATGATTCTGTGATTCTATGATTCTAAGAACCTAGTCTGAGTTACCATGTCAGAATAGCTCCATGTATAGCAATGATGCCTTGTTCCTCGTAATCTGTAAACCCCACCCCACCCCACCCCCCCAGTTTGTAAACACTGAAGAGAAGCAGTAATGGTGAATGCAACCTTGTCGGTGTTAATCGCAGCTGTACCTGGGGAGCGACGTGGGGGCCTCCCCGCAGACAGCTGGTGCCGTCACAGGGGCTCCAGGGTGCTGGATAACACCAAGGCATGTTCAGAAATTGGTATACGGCTTTATTGGCATTTATCTTACCTGGGCTCCGGGCAGATTAATGGCAAGAGGAAGATGTTCCCCCTCAGCACAGCTGCACAGGGCAGCAAGCTGCCTTCAAGGGAGCAAGCACCGACAGTTCCCCTGCTTTTCACCCATGGCTGGTGCCTCATGCCCTGGGATGTGCTCTAGGGAGCCGTGCAGGGCACTGAGCCCAGCACCCCACAGCGAGGGTCTGCCTGTCTGTGGGACAGGGCAGCAGCGAGCCCCAGCTGGGACGCACTCAGCTCCCCAGTTCCACATGCACCCCCATGGGTGATGGCACCATGGTGCCCGGCAGCGGCCAGGTGGCTGGGCCACGTGTGGAGCTCAGCCTCGAAACCTGAAGGCAAATATTTCTGGTCAGCTATTACATCCTTGGATCTGTGTTTCTGCTATTTCACCTGCTAGACTGGCATACAGATGGCTCGCTCTCACTCCCTAGACTATTGCAATGTATATTAATAAATGCATGCTAATTTTTTGTGTATGACAATGCGATCAGCTTGGGAACAGCACTGAGTGATCAGCCAAAAATCAAACTAGACAGCTTTTGCTGGTGCTGTCCTAAAGAGCCCCACAGGTCCATGGGGCACCGCCACATCCAGGCATTTAAAAATATAAAATAAAAATTATGGGCTTCTTTAAAAGGCTGCAGGGCTGGGCTCTGAGGGATGGGGGAGGAAGCCTTGTAGCTCTCCACTGGGGAGATCTTATGAACCTAGCTGGCCACAGCATGCTGGTTTTTTGAGTGGATTTCAGCCATCTCTCTCTCCTGCTGCCTGGGGCGAACCCCAGACCCCTGCTCCCACCTCTGTTGCCATCAGTGCCTCCCTAATCCCCCTAGGAAGAGGGCAGCTGCCCCTGCCTCCCCTTGCCCAGCACCCAAACCTCCAGGCAAAGGGTGGTCCTCGCAGCCTCCAGCCCTGCAGAGCTGGCAGGAGGCAGGCAGGGGCAGCCCCATCCTGCAGCCCCCTGGCACCACGGCCAGCCCGGCCCAGGGGGGGTGGCATGCACCCAGCCATTCCAAACATCCAGTACTGCTCGCCAGCTGCCCCAGCCACCAACAAGTGTTTCATACGACCCCGTGTGCAGCTGTGCTGTGTCAACAGCTCCTAAACCTGGGATTTACGGCTGTTGGGCGAGGGGCCGAGATGAAAGCAGCGTTACAGGAGCTTGCCTGCTGCTCCCCACCAGGAAAGGGGTGATATGCCGGGCTGGGCACAGCTCCTGTGGAGGATACATATCAGGAATAGCGTGGCCAGCAGGAGCAGGGCAGTGATCGTGCCCCTCTCCTGGGCACTGGTGAGGCTGCCCCTCAAATGCTGGGTTCAGTGTTGGGCCCCTCACTCCCA